GATCATCACTGTTGTCTTTATTGTTATTTAAACCACCTTCCTCGACTCGATAGAATAAACATTACACCCTAACAATTTACACTGTTTAGAATTCTCTTCTGATTGCTTCTAATGTTCCTGTGGAAGTTTTAGCAATTTGTAAGTTCATACATGTTTCTTTGTGCTGATTTTGTCATTTCATATGATTTCATCAAATGGTTTCTTCAGATTGTTCCATGTATTGAGTCCATTCATATTTTACTCAACTATTGTATCATATCCTACTATGTATAATATGAATAGATTTTAATATTTGCTGATATATGCAGGCACTTTGAGCTTCTTTTGTGGTGGCATTTTAATTTCATGGGAAATAGTCCCCCAACTGTAATTACCAGGTCAGAGCCTTAGACTCTTGCAACACAGTGCCAAGTCACATTCTAGAAAGATTTAAACAGTTTATAGTAGTAGCACAGCAGTGTATGTGCAGCTGTTCCCCCAAAGCCCTGCCAACAGCAGTGTTGTTGTCTTATTTATTTACTTATTTTCACATTGACTGGGGCCATAATGGGGTGTTAATGATGTTGTAATTTGCATATCCTAAATTGTTTCTGAGACTGTACATTTTTCCTCTTGATGATTTGCTGTTTGTGTTTCCTCATGTGTCAAACCCTGCTCATCTCCTGCAACTGTGGATCCTCCTGGACCTTGTCCAACTCATTCCCACACCTGCTTGGTCCCCATCACAGCCATTCCAGCCCTCAGCTCTCTTCCTATGGGTATGAGCTACAGACCCTGGGGGCTCCTGGGATGGAGGCAGAAGGGCAGGAGTTTGAAGGAAGGCAGGGGCTTGTATGAGTGGCTCCCCAAGTAGGTTCATAAGGTTCTTTCTTGGAGATAGACTTAAAGCTGAAGGGGGCACTGGAGTTCATCTGACTAGGGGTCATGCACTCAAAGGCCAGCAGGGAACAGAGAGAATGAAACGACAGAGGCCAGCACAAATGTGATGATAAATGGAGTGACCCATGACCTAGGAAGGGGTAGGACCAGCAGGAAATTGGAACATGTGAGTTGCCCTTGCATTGCAGTGGCACTCAGCTCTACCTCCAAGAAGGAAGGCTTACTGTGGCCAGTGTTCTGATTTTTTTTTAATGACAAACCAGAACCCCTGATTTTTAATTTGTCTCCAGATTAAAAAAAAAATGTTGGCAGTAAATTCATTTAAAATAAAACATAATGAATGGGTCAAATAAAATATACCTGTGAGAGAGAATGGCTTCTCAGCCTCAGCTTCCTTATTGGGGAAACACATGCCCAGCATATAAGACAGAGATGGAATCAGAGTCTAAGGGTCGAATTCCATCTGTGTGACCTTGGGAGAGTTGTTTAACCTTTTTGAACTTCACTTCCTTATCTCTGAAAGGGGATCATGACTTCCAGGGTGCTGGGTGGATCCAGTGGTCTCGCACATTGGACATAAAGTAGCAGCTTGATGATGCATTAGATAGGTTCATTGGGGTCATTTGGAAAGTTAAAAGGAAGAAACAGGCTTAGAAATTTGCTCGTGTAACTCTTAATCTAGAGCTTTATCTTCATCGTATAGGGATGCTTTCATGTGTTTCTGGAGGTATCTGGACACAGGAGTCCTTCTTATCCCTGAAAATTGTAGATTACTTTATGAAAGCTTGAGTGTCAGAGCACTCCTAAGCTTAGATAATGGGCCTCACAGCTCTGTGGATTTTGTGCTACAGGACCCAGGACCCAGGAGACCAAACCGCAGCAGTAGTAGCAGTAGCAATAATAATAATAATGGCATACACCATTGAACCTAAGGAGCCATTGATTATAATATGCACCATTATTTTACATACACTTAAGAAAGAGAAAATGCTGCTGATAAAACCATGCATGCCTGCTGGGCATAGTGGCACGTGATGGTAGGTAGCTACTTGGGAGACTGAGGCAGGAGAATTGCTTGAGCCAGGAGTTCAAGGCCAGCCTGGGCAACATAGCAAGACCCTGTCTCACAAAAAAACGAACCATAAGGGCTGGTGATTTAGCTCAGTGTCGCCGTGCCTGCCTGGCAAGTGCAAGGTCCTGAGTTCGATACCTGGTATGGGAGGGGGCAGAAAAACCATACATGCTGTCCATTGTAAGAAGCAGCTTGATTTCAGAGATGTTGAATGGGGGAAATATGCATCTTAGAATCAGTGAAATAGAATAGCAATACAAGTAATAATAATGATGTTATATTTTGTTGATTGTTTTAAATTTTCGTGTATAGTTTCATTCACGAATTTATTTATTTATTTTTTTATTTAGGTACTGGGGATTGAACTTGGGTCCTTGCACCTGCGCAGCAGGTGGCGAAACCACTGAGCTAAAATCCCCGCCCCCATGAATTTATTGCAAATGTTTGCTAAGTGCCATAGTGTGCAGGGACTGTGTAGACACCAGAGATACCACAGGGAGTAAAATCTAGGAGGCTGCGCACTTAAGGAGCTCTGATTCTGGGTGATGGTGCTCTGTTCACAGAAATGGTGCAAGCAGAGCAGAACAACATGTAGCCAGTGGAGTAAAGATACACAGGAAGCCGTGGAGGTTTAGGGAAGAGAATAGCTGTTCTGATTCTTTGGAGCTGGGAGCTAGAAGGGGTTTTGGTGACTGGGGTTTTAGAAGGGCTGTCAGGAGGAAGTGAAGCAAGATAGACCAGGGAAGGGCTGGGGATTTAGTGATTTAGCTCAGTGGCATCTCCACCTGCCTCAAAAGTGCAAGGTCCTGAGTTTGATCCCCAGTAGTGAGAAAAAAAAGATAGAGCAAGGACACAGCTAAGCAAGGAAGGATATGTTGCAGCTGGAGCCCACAGGCAGCCCTGCAAGCACGAATTCCCTTCCCACAGAATCTGTCCACCAAAGGTGCCCTTTGATTAGGGCCAGCTGTGAGCTCTTAGCTACCACTCAAGGCGGGGTGGAGGGGGCAAGGGATGAAGCCTGATAAAGGGGACCTGGGAGGGCTCCAACAGTGTACACTCCAGCAGCGTCCTCTGCTCTGAGGAGTCAAGAGAAGCTTCTTGGAAGATGGGCTGTTAAGCTTTAGGCTGTTAAGCGCTAGTGTGCTGGGAGACCTGGGTATGGGCTAATCTGCAGATCAGGATTAGAGGGAGGAAGAGCAAGAGTGAAGACTGGAGAGTGAGAAAGCATAGCTCTTGGGAACCTCATATTGGTTGGCTCTGTGGGGCCAGAGCTGGGGCTGGGAAGTGGAGCAGAATCAGATAGTGCCAGGAACACAAGTGGCTAACTGTCTGGTTAACAGACCTAGCTTTATGCTGTTGATGATGGGAGCTGTTGAGGAGTAAGCATTTTGATGGCTGTGTGGACAGTGAAGTGTGCAAGACTAGGAGCAAGGAGATCAGTTAGGAGATGAAAAAATGACAGCACACATGTATCAAAGACTTACTGTGTGCCATATACTTTTAGGGTCTTATCATTCTCATTTTGCAGATGAGAAAACTAAGTAGGTAAGTAACTTGCTCATCAAGTCAGCGTGAGCCAAGATTTGGACTCAGGTCTTAATCTGTGCTCTTAACTTGTATATTCCCATAGATGTGAATTTTGGATTCTAGTTCTTGACTTATCAGTATTGCTTTTCATTTAAAAGTCATGTTTCAAGCGTACCCCACTGCACACATTGAATGTGGGGATCCTGCTCCTCTTGGCTTGCTCGTGAGGAGAGCTAGTGAGGGAGTCTGTCCCGGCCGGTCCTGTGGGGGCATGGGCTTTGTTGAAGTGGGGCCCCTGGGAAGCTGGCAGTTCTTGCTCTGTGAAGAAAGGGTGTTTCTGTCCTGTAGCCCTGCTGGCCTGCCCTCCTTGGCAGCCACACCTGTTTTGTCCTTCTCTCTGCACCCAGCCAGACGTATGTCCCAGAGTGACAGCAGCAACTGGAGCCATCTACAGAAGCTCCCTCTCAGGCCTGACAAAGGCGCTCAGAACCTGGTCCAGGCCGTAGGGGAGGGAGGCTGGGGAGGGCAGGTGGGAGGGCTGAGCGGGACAGACAGCTGTGGGCTGGTGTGGCCGGCTTGGCTCTGCCCCAGAACAGGTGAAGTAAGTGTGAAACTGAGGAGAGTCCCATGGGTTTTCAAGGGTAAAAGAGAATGCATGACTTCTCAGTAGTGCATCAAGTTACTGTGGCTTACCTTAGTGACTGAGGTGGTTTTTGAACTCTCTGCTGTCTCAGAAAGGACCTGGTAAGAAGCGGGGAGAAAGCACGGTTGTTAAAGGGGTGTCTCTGTTCAGCCCAGGTGGACAGAGTTGTGGAAAAGTGGTGGAAAGGACACAAAGGGAGGGGACACCTCCAATGGGACACTGGGTTGATGTTGCAGAGCCTAGCAGAGGGTCACCCTGAGGCATCATGTTGTCTTTTCAGGGGGAAAAAAAAAAAAATCTTGCCTGGAAGTAGGTTCTTGAAAGGGAGAACCTAGTTTTGAGAGAAGGAAATACAGGGTAAAAGAGTAAAAGTAACAGTTGTAACACCTAATACATGTACATAGCATTCTACAGCGTAGAGCAGTTTTTTGTCCATTGGATCCTTTCAGACCCCTATAAAGAGGACACCTTTTCACTGTTCTTGTAACAAACACGGTGCTCTATTAGGGGACAACAGCAACAGAGAAAGAAGGAAAAGAGAAAAAAATGAAGCTCAGACGTTATGGAGAACTGTCCTAAGGTCACAGAGCAGGTTTGTTTTAGTTAGGCAGGTCCCTTCCTCAGTACTGGCTCCCCGTTCTTTTCACAACTTTCTCTTTCTTCTGTTGTAATTATAAGCAATAAGAACCTTTATTTTGCAAAGGGACCTGACAGTAGGAACATAGCATACAAGGGACATAAGAAGGCTGTCATTTTGTGATGTCCTCAACAATAGTTGTACCCCAGTTCCTCATATTCTGGTCAAGGCTAATTGTTCACATAAACACACCATGTGTGCTGGGCTCGATGGGGCAGTGGAAAAAGGACAACAATGCGGACTCAGGGCAGGTGGCTGGGTGGCGAGACCCTGGCTTCTTTAGACGCTTTTATTTTTCTTCTTCATACCAGCTTTGAGATATAACTCACATACTTAGAAGATTTTGAACACTGGTGACGGGCCACTCTGAGTAGAATTCAGAGAGCTGAGTTGTTTGTCAGGAAGCCTTTGAAATGCCATACTGTACCCTCACTGGGACCCAGAGGATGGGGTCCTGCCAGAGAGCTTTTCCTCCTGGAGTCTTTCTTTCTTAGCAGACAGCTTCTGGGAACTGGCGCTCTGTACTCCATGCTTTCCTGCAGTTTGTAAAGAAAGTGGGTGGTGGAGAAACTATCACTCTGTGGGTACGTTCTTGGGATCAGCACCTTTCACCACAGCCCTAAAAGGTCACCTTGGTTGGAGGAGGGACTGGGGCATCTAAAACCAAAATTTTCACTTCACATGTCAGTGATTCTGCACTGTCATATCCGCAGCAAGACTGACCTCCAGGGCTTTCCCGGAAAGGCCAAATCTTTCTTTACACATCCTCTTCTGCTGGCAGTTGGCAGGTAGGTACATTTCTCTGCCAAATGGTGGCTTTGGGAACGGTCTTGAGCCCTTGTCCCCTGCACACCCATGTGCCCTTTTCCTCTTCTCTCTGAGTTGATTCACATTTAGAAGTTTAGTTAGGGTAAAGGGAAGGGGTGTGCTGCTTCACAGTGAGCAGGGCTCCTCCAGAGCCACTGACTTCTCAGTTCTTGTGCACCCTGCTACCTGCCTTCACTCCCTGGGCTGCTCCTCCGATAGGCAGCTCCTTCTGGGACAAGAAGGAAGTCCCAACGGGACAAAACTGAGGAGTGCCCTTTGGAGTGGCTCCCACTCGCCCATTCCCTGGAGGCTGGGCCCTGGCTTGCAATGTGGCAGGCTCTTCTAGGAATGTGCTCCCCAGCCGGGTTTTCTGGTTGGTTGGGAATGTCCCTGGGCTGGTCTGCACTGGCTCACAGAGGCTCCCTCTGGGCTGGCCCCAGGCCAGCTGCAGGGGCCGGTCCTTTAGGACAGGTCAGGATGGCTGCAGATCTGCAGAAGAATCTGGCAGCTGGGGCCCTGGAGATGACGTCACTCTGCTTTTGTTTCCTTCACTTGGATGAGTTATCAGTGGGAGGGAAGAAACTCAGCAAATGGAAAAGCTAAACGGCTTTACACTGAGCCTCTGCCAGGAGTTCTGATGGTCCAGCCTCTACTTGGGGGTCTGTGGGCCTGAGCACTCCAGTCCCTCAATTGCTTGCTGCCTTACTCTGTGGGAGATTGGAAGAAAAGCAGAGAGATGACAGATGATTGGATTGCTACCTCTCTGAACCCCAGTGTTTTCATCCAGAGAGGGATAAAACTGTCACAGAGTGTGGCTCAGTAGGCTCAGCAGGCTGTAGGGCAAAGTGCTTTGAGACCTGTCAGGAACAGTACTGCCACAGTGAATTCTAAATTGAGGAGCCTGGGCTTTTCTGTGTAGAAGGTGGTTTTCTGACTCCATTCACTTTTTACAACCACAGAATCGTGGATCCTGAAAGAAATTTAAGAGATCACCTGGTCTTGTCTTCTGCCATAATTATCAGTATTTTGTGGATAAGACTGTTTTAAAGGTCCTTATTTGGACATCTATCATGACATGGGACAAGTGAGTCCTTTACCTTTCTCTGGCTGCAGCATGACTTCCAGGTGCATGCAGGTGCTTCAGCAAGTCAAGGGGCAGGAGAGTGGAAAGCCATGGCCCTTAGAACAAGTGTAGTTTGTGCAGAGTTTCTAGGCAGAATGTCCTACAAGGCTTAGGTCTAGCAGGCTCAGGGAGTGTGTGGGAATCACATTCTGCTGTCCTCCTTGTTCTGAGAACGCCAGGGATGCACTTGGCTCTTAGGACTGGCCATAGGGGAAAGGAGCTCCCAGGACACAGTGTATTCTTTGGTGGCTTTTTTCTTCAGAGAAATATCTCCTTCTGACTCATCTTTTTAAAAAAAAATCATACACTAAAATATACTGAAGAGCAGGATTACCTCTGCTGACTTTTGCCTGGCCCTGCAAGACCTGAGCTGCAGAAAATGTTTCACATTTTCCCGACAGTCAGGCAAAGAGAAATCAGGCTTGGACCAGAAAATGATCAAGGGGCTATTTACAGAAGACAGGGGAAATAGTAAAGCTTCCTAACTCAGGTCTGAGTTGCTGGACTTCTAATGGCCTTGTGGGCCCTCAACAGGGCCTGGGGCCGGTTTCTCAGTTACCTTTACAGCACTGGAGGCTGGTGAACCAGAAAGTAAAACTCGGGGAGGCTGTTAATAAAGTGCATTGGAGAAGACTGTGCATGATTTATCATATCCAACACCAATTTTCTTTGTGGAAGAAAGCTACTTGTGCCTTCCCCAAAATCACACACACACACTGTCTCACTGTCTCTCTGTCTCTCCCTCTCTCCCTCTCTCCCTCTCTCCCTCTCTCCCCC